GCATACATGGGCATGATATTACACATACAAAGTCACACTCACACTGACATGAAAACATAGATACACTAAAGCACACAGGCATGCTAAACACGATCATAGACACACATTAAACATTTACAGAAATACAAAGACATTAAAGAAGCACAAATATAACTATATTTAGAAAGTCATGGGTTAAATCATGTGGATGAACTCAGGAAAGTACCCTGAACCAGACAACTGCTTATACATCCAGGTGGGGTGGCAACATGAGAGATGGGTGACAGGGTGAGGGAGTGGCAGGGTGAGAGAGGGGTAAGAGAGGGTGACATGGTGAGAGGGGCCGACGGATGGGGGGGTGACAGGTGGGTGGCAGGGGAGAGGGGTGGCAGGTGGGGTGAGAGGGTGAGAGGCAGGTGACAGGGTGTGACAGGTGGGGTGGCAGGGGGGTGACAGGTAGGGAAGTGGAAGCAAGGTGAGCGGGGTTGACAGGTGGGGGGCAGGGTGAGATGGGGTGACAGGTGGGGTGGCAGGTTGACAGAGGGTGACAGGTGGGGTGGTAGTGTGAGAGAGGGGTGACAGGGTGAAGTGGCAGGATGAGGGGGTGACAGGGTGAAGTGGCAAGGTGAGGGGGATGACAGGTGGGGTGGCAGCGTGAGATGATGGTGACAGGTGGGGTGGCAGGATGAGGGGGGTAACAGATGGGGTGGCGAGTGAGATAGGGTGAGGAGGGGTTGACAGGGTGATGTGGCAGGGTGAGGGGGGGTGACAGGGTGTTGACAGGGGGTGACAGGTGGGTTGCAGTGTGAGGTGGCAGGTTTAGGGGGGTGACAGGTGGGGTGGCAGGGTGAGGGGGGTCAAAATTGACCTTTTTCCCTGGTGGTCCGGTGGGGTCAATCTGTCCCTGGTGGTCCAGTGTCCTGGATGGCTCCCTGGTGGTCCGGTGGGGTCATTCTGTTCCTGGTGATTCAGTGGGCTTTCCGGTCTGCAGCTCTACCGGATGCAGAGCTGCAGACCACATGGGGAATGTCTTGCGATCTCCATTCAGAGCGTTGCTGTGGTAACCCGCGGCAACGCTCTGATTGGCTGGAGATTGCGAGACATCAGTCTGCAGCTCACACCCGGCGGAGCTGCAGACGGAGACTGGCTTTCTCCCCGGGCAGACTGACAGGAGGGGCCTCAGTCGCCGGGCCCCCTCCTGTGTCGGGTCCTCAGTCATAGACCGTGAACCCGACATGTCAGTCTGCACTCAGGTGATTTAGGCGGCCGCCTAAGGCCTCGCACAGTCAGGCCTCGCGGCCGCCTAAATCGCCTAATTAGAGAGCCGCCTCTGCATATATGCACATTGGAGGGAAGGGGCACGCAGAGAAGTCCGGGCCCCCCAGGCCTTTGATATCTGTCATTGTGGCCCTGTGGCAACATAACCACTACAGAGAGCTGTAGTGGTTATTGTGCCTGGATTGTTTTTTTTAATAATCTACCAATGCCCCTCCCGAGATTAGGTTCGGGATCTGCCACAGCCCTTGGTATACAGTGTATGCAACATGTGATACAAAGCACACAATGTATACCATACAATACAACGCGAAAATACAGTGAAATAAATGAATTACCATCCCAGCCTATTAAAAAAACTCTCCATACCTAGAACATATAGGCTACAGCAGTGATTCCCAAACAGCCCCTGTAGTGTTGGCAGGCTGTAACTTGCTCCCAGTTTCATACAGTGAGACAGGAGAAAGAAAAGGCCGCTGCAGAGGCAGCATGAGGGGAGAGGAGAGGAGCACAAAAAGCTGCTCCAGACACCTCACTCTCACCAGCATCAGGACCTGGACTCCAAGCCACCCTCCTGGACACAAAATGTAAGCTAACAGGATTGTGGCGTGAGAAATGTAAAAAATATCACATGTATGTTTTTATGTGCATATTAGATTTTGTGTGTGCATCTGTGTCAATGTTTGTTTGTGTGTCTGTGTGTGTGTGTGCATATGTGTGTCAGAGTGTGCATCAGTGTGTGTAACTGTGTGTTTGTGCATCTGTTTTATCAGGGTGTGCATCTGTGTTTGTGTATATAGTTAGTGTGTGCATCTGTGTGTGTACATATCAATGTGTGTATCTGTGTGTCAGGGTGTGCATCTGTGTGTGCATATGTGTGTCAGAGTGTGCATCAGGGTGTGCATCTGTGTTTGCATGTATATATGTAAGTGTGTATCTGTGTCAGTGTGTTTCTGTGTGTGCGCACACATCTGTGTGTCAGGATGTACATCTCTGTATGTCAGTGTGTCATGGTGTGTGCATATGTCAGTGTTTGTATGTGTCAGGGTGCATGTATCGGTGTGTCAGGGTGCATGTGTGTGTATATGCCAGTGTAAGCATGTGTCGGTGTGTGTATCTATGTGTATGTATGTGTCGGTGTATTTATATGTATCTGTTAATGTTTATGTATATCTGAGTAAGTATGTATGTGGTAGTGTATGTGCATACAACCAAGCAATCAAACATTAGCACAACATACATACACTCCTGCAATCTACACAAATATTACATACAAACACACTCCTGCATTCAAACTCCAAAATTATATACAAACGTACCCCTTCTCTCAAACACCAATACTATGCACAAATGTACACCAGCATTTAAAAGCAATCGTTACATCCAAACACACCCCTGCAATCAAATGCAAACATTACAAACAAACACACCCCTGTATTAAAGCAGAAAATGTATACAAAAAACAAAACTAACAAGTATATAGGGCACTAAATTCTCTAAAATATACAATACCTTAACAAATGTATAACGTAGCAGCACTTTATAAGTGTAGTAGCTCTAAAAACACTAAATACCAAACAGTCTAAAAAATAAAGTGTGCTGTGCCTTTAAAACTGTGCCAACAGATTATTGTGCTTTTCAATTTCAATCAAAATGCTTAACAACAAGAATAGTGTTTATACAATCTTGTGCAAAAATCACAACTTGTGCAAAATAAACTGTACATCTAAAGTGCAATTTCCATTCACATTTGTGTACAAAATTGTTTAACCCCTTAAGGACACATGACACGTGTGACATGTCATGATTCCCTTTTATTCCAGAAGTTTGGTCCTTAAGGGGTTAAAGTGCTTATTGTGCCAAATTTCACACTGTATATAAAAAGATGTAATACTTGCAACATATGTAGTGCAACATGAGAGAGAACATAGTGTAATACTGTATTTTTGCAATCACGTCGTATTGAGGACCTCACTAACTCCGCCTACTGGTACGAGCGCAATAGCCGGGGAATCCAGGAGTGCCGGCAACTGGTACTGAGCTTATCTGTGGTACTGGTGAGGTTAAGGGGTTTTAAGACGTGCCTTGTTGTTTTTCAAAAGAATAAAGTTTGTTCAACTGGATCTCGGCTGTCCACCGTCTTGTTTGGATATTGGTTATACACCCAAGCGCAAATAGCCTGAGCAGTCTGTAACCTGCTCAACGTTTGTGAGTGCTATATACATATCTGGATCTGCTTATATGTGGTATATATACAGTACTACACTACATGCTTGTTTTTCTCTTTCATATTGAACTACGTATATTGCAGTGAAATGTGGGACAATAAGCACTTTAAACACTTTTGTACACAAATGTGAATGGAAATTGCACTTTAGATTTGCATCTTATTTCCTCACTTATTTTTGTTCACATATTTAGCTTTATTTAGTTAAGCATGTGTTTTTATTTACTAATTATTATTAAAAGTTATGTTTTATGATCTATTCTCAATCTAGGACAGTATCTTTGTTCTTGTTTATTTTTCCTAAATTAAGTTTAACCCCTTTTCTGTCCTTTAACTTTCTTTGACATTTTTTTAGCTTCCAACGTTTTCTTTAAATTTAGATTTGCAGTTTATTTTGCACAAGTGGTGATTTTTTGCACAAGATTATATAAACACTATTCTTGTTGTTAATAGGACACTATAGTCACCAGAACAACTACAGCTTATTGAATTTGTTCTGGTGAGTAGAATCATTACCTTCAGGCTTTTTGCTGTAAACACAGTCTTTTCAGAGAAAATGCAGTGTTTACATTACAGCCTAGTGATAACTTCACTGGCCACTCCTCAGATGGCTGTTAGAGATCCTTCCTGGGTCATGGCTGCCTTAAATGCATCCAAACATTCAGTGTCTCCTCCCTCTGCCTGCAGACACTGAACTTTCCTCATAGAGATGCATAGATTCAATGCATCTCTATGAGGAGATGCTGATTGACCAGGGCTATGTTTGAATTGTGCTGGCTCTGCCCCTGATCAGCCTTCTTGACAGTCTCAGCCAATCCTATGGAGAAGCATTTTGATTGGATCAGGCCACCACTTCTAGTCAAAAATAAACAGGGACAAAGCAATCAGCTCCAGACTTGAATACAAGTAAGATTATACTATATTTAGGGAGGCAGGAGGGGACCAGGGGGGGCTAGATGGTGGTTTTAACATTATAGGGTCAGGAATACATGTTTGTGTTCCTGACCCTATAGTGTTCCTTTAAGCCCTTTGACTGAAATTGAAAAGCACAATAATCTGTTGGCACAGTTTTAAGGGTACAGCACACTTTATTTAGTTTATTGACTGTTCAGAAAAATTATATACAAGCCCCCCTTTAATCAAACAACAAAACTATACATTATACTATAGCGCCAGTATATGCCGCAGCGGTATAGAGATATACAACCTATAACTTTGTTTTGACTTGGGGTGCCTTGAAAAAATATTTAAATAGTATAGCCTTGAATCTAAAAAGTTTGGTAACCACTGGGCTACAGAATGAAACATAGTGCTACATCAACTAAAAATTGCATTATCTCATCTGTTGTTGCGTTATATGCAACAAAAATGTAGATATATAGGGTAATTCAGTAGTTCAAATACCAGCATAATTGATAAATGAAATCTAAGAAGTGCAGTAAATTCAAATAGCAGAATCTATAACATGTTATGCTTATTGATGACAAAGTAGAGCAAAATGGCACATAAACTAAACCTGCCATTATAATGATGGGTGAAGTAATGCGATAATCCAAATCCCAACATAATTTGTAAGCAATAATTAAGGAATGCAGAAATTCCTAATACCAGCTAATCCTGTTATGTATTGTGCTTTTGTTGTAATAGCAAATAACTAAGCGGCATTGATTTTGCTAGATACAACTACTGAGAAAAATGCTAACTTCCATTTCATATTAGGACTAATGTAACGTTATATTCCAATTCATAATTAGAGAAAATCACTGAAATAATGTTGTTGCAAAAAAATTGTTACAAAACATAATTTAAGCATATATACAATTGGAGATTATACTATCTTTAGTGTACCTATAATCTTAATTTTATTAATGACAGGAGGCAAATATTTGCTTTAGTCTCTCTTTACTAGAACTCCACAGCAGCACATTAACATAGAGAGAAAACAACCAATCAGAAAAAAGTAAGGAACAATAAAAGTCCCCTCCCAACCAACTACTTCCTATTTCAAGCTGCGACAAAAAACAAAGAACAGGAACAAACATATCCATATAGCAGTGGTAGTAGAACCCAAACGAAGCCAACCAATGATCCTCCTCCAGAAGAAGAAAACTGAACATGGATCCGTAGATGAACCATTAAATCTCATCCTGAAGAAGACCTTGAACGTGGATGCATAGATGAACCATTAAACTGAAACGAGATAAACAGAGTCGAAAACTCCGGTTAGTGAATGAAATGTACTGTGAAAACATGAAGTCCCCATAATCAACTACAGACGGTACAATATCCATAACAATCTCACCCCGGCTTCCCTCAGGAAGGGAAAACACCTGACATACCTAAACAAAAGTCTGAAGAGCAAACTATCAATCAGAGGTGGTCAAAATAAAATGATCAATAAAAAAAATAACAAGGGTAGGGTGAAACTGGGAGGGAAATATTCGCCTCCTGTTATTCATAAAATTAAGATTATAGTTACAATAAAGCTAGTATAATCTACAATTTTATAACATGACAGGAGGCTTCATATTTGCTGTTTTAACGCTCAAACAGCAAGGCAAAAGAAGCATGATCCGCCAGTCTGAAATAAAACTGACGGAAGGTGTCTTCCCGGGACCAGTCAGCCAAACGTAGGATGTCCAGAGAGAGGCGCCCCAGGCTGTTGTGCCTCTAACCGAATGTTCTCCGAAGGTCGAATTCACACCCGCAAAGGACAACAACCATTTAATCCACCGTGCCAGGGTAGGAGAAGAGACTGGCTTGTGAGGACTAACATAAGAATCAATAATCGACCGGAACTGTAAGGGTGAAGTGGAGAAGTATGTGTCACATAACGAGACAGAGTCGCCGCCACACAGAGTTTAGGTGAGTCGCAGAAATACAGGTAGAAGATACCCATAGAGTCCGAATTAGTACGTCTAGAAACCGCAAAGGTGACTCCCTCCGGGGAGAAGGAAAAAGCGAAAGCCCGAATGTCAGAGACCTGTCGGATAGAAATTTGGCATAGCAGTAGAGTGAATTTAGCCGAAAAGCTGACGGAGGGACCAATGGGGAAACCTTGGAGCTGTACATGAGCTGCCGAATTTGCCGACCTTGCCACGTTAACTGAACAATACGAGCGCCCCAGGTCAATCAGGTGCGAGAGGAAGTTCAGAACACTGGCTACAGGGGCCATAAAGGGATCAGTATCCTGTTCCAGGCACCAACGGCACCAAGAGTTCCATGCTGACAAGTAGCATATCCTAATTCCAGGAGCCCAGGAATCCCAGAGGAGGTTTTTTAGCAGACTGTGATAATGCCTTGACATTCCAGGTTCCCCTGAAAGAGTCCAGGCAACTAAGTGGAGGTGGCCATCCACCACAAGGGGGTGAGGATTACCTTGGGAGTACGAGAGGAGCGTCTGTGGGGATAGTAGAAGGAGTGGATCCCGATGGTATAGATACAGAAGTTCTGGAAACCAGGCCTGATTCTGCCATAGAGGAGTCAGCAATACCAAAGACACACATTGATGTCGTACCTGTAGTAGGACCCTCGAGATCATAGCAAACGGAGGAAACGCATAAGCTCCCTGAGACGGCCACACCCGAAGAAAGGCATTCACCGCCATGCAAGCAGGGTCCGGAAGCCAACTGAAGTAGGTTGGGACCTGATAGTTCGTCCTGGAGGCAAAGAGGCCCCTCCGGTCCGCGATCTAGAGGAAAATGGGACAAAGGAACCTCCAGTCACTGGTGTCACTCCAATGGCTGGAGAACCAGTCCGCCGTCCTGCTCGACACTCCTGGAAGATATTCCGCCCGGTGAATGATGTTGCATTGGAAGCAGAAACTGTAGATTTCCTTCGTCACCTCTGAAAGTATCTGGGAGCGGGCTCCTCCCAGGCGGTTGATGTATTGTACCGCCGAGATGTTGTCCATTCTTAGAAGAATCGGAAAGGTGGCTTGCAGGCTCCGGATAGCGAATGAGCCTGCAAACAGTTCCAGGTAGTTTATGTGGAACTCTGACTCCATCTCCGACCATGGTCCTCCCGTGGAACTGATTGCGCAGGTGGCCCTCAAGCCCATAGGCTTGCATCCAACTCCAGTACGAAATCCGGGTTCGGTCCGAAAATCGCCTTGCCATTCCAGGCCAACATGTGGAGAAGCCACCAGTGCAGTTCGGTCTTGACATCCGGAGTGAGGGGAATCAGTTAGTCGTAGGAGGGTCTCCTGCGGAGGAAATGGGCCTTCAGGTGCTGCATGGCCCTGTAGTAAAGGGAACCTGGTTAGATCGCCTGGATCGATGCGGAGAGGAGGCCCACCACGCATGCCAACATCCTCAGTGGGATCCGGTCCTGACGTAGAATCCTCCGTATCTCCTTCTGAATGGTCGAGATCTTGGACTGAGGGAGGTGTAGGAGGCACTCCCTTGTGTCTATTTCAAAACCCAAGAACTCGATTACCTGCGACGGAGAGAGGGACGACTTTTCCTGGATGTTCACGAAACCCAGGGACTTGAATAAGGAGACCACAGAGCGCGTCTGACACTTTAGCCTGGAGAGCTCCTCGCAAAAGATCAGCAGATCGTCCAGGTAGATGATACAATGGACGCCCTCGGATCAACGGCGTGCCGTCATTGGTTTCAATAAAAAAGGGAGACAGGTGAATTGGCAAGGTCTGCCCTTCCAGAGGAAACGGAGAAACCATCGGCACTTGGGGTCCACTGGTACCGAGAGGTAGGCGTCCATCAGGTCCAGTCTCGTGAAACCAATCTCCTGGGCGGAGGAGGTCCCGCAGGATATGGATGCCCTCCATCTTGAAATGATGGTAAATCATGAAGGCGTTCAGGCTTCTCAGATTGACCACCGGGCGGAAATCCCCAGACATTTTTCTCACCAGAAATATGGAGCTGAAGAAACCTCCATCGTCCGGCGCCCACTGGACCACACCCTTTTAGAAAAGGGCTTGGATCTCTGCATCTATCAGGGACTGCTGCACCTTTGAGGACACGAGAACCAGGGGAGGGTGAACCTATGTCGGTGGAGAGTGAAAATCTATGACATAGCCCCGAACAGTCTGAAGCAAACACGCATCTGAGGACACCCCCGCCACCTGTCCATGCAGTGAAACAATCTGCATGCATGCAACAGAGAGGGAGGCAAACTGGTAGTAACTGTTCTCACCTGTTGACATCCTTGCTAGCCCGCCGGCTCGGCTCCCTTTCCCTCTGTCTGACCTTTGAGGGTTGAAGGACCGTGAGTGGTAGGATGGGAAGAAGGACGGTCCATGGGATCCTCGATGACCAGATGGCCAGAATCAGCTGGCGACACAACCCCACTGTCGTCCAGCCCTGCCAAAAACCCGGGAGCTCTGTGGGTGCAAGACCCTCTACATTGAGGTCTGGGCCTTGCTCAGGGAGGTGAATAAATTCACATGTTTGTGAAGCTCTTTGATGAAGGGTTCCCCGAAGAGGAGACCTTTGACCCTAAGTCCGAGAGTTTGACGTCCATATGAAGGAGGAACGTTGCGCTCTGCATGGAGCCTTCTATGCTCCGTGCAGAGCGCAACATTAGTATTGCCCAGAAGGCAAATAGAGCACAGAGCCCAGTCCCGAATGGAAGCTGGGTCTAGGGCAGCACCCTGTGAAAAAGCCTTGTCTGCAAGCATGAGAATCCTGGCCAGGGGGCCCAGCATGTCCAGCAGTTTATCCTGCGCCAGACGGAGGCTGCGCTTGCCCCCTTTTTTAGGGTCCCATCGGGTACGCGTCATGTATGTAGAGACCATGGGGTCGAATTCCGGGGCCATGGCAACCTTATGCGGTAGTACGGCCTGAGGCATTCCGCCCGTAATCTCCTGCACACTTCCCAGTACAGAGGCTTACGGACCCAGTAATACACGAACTGTGCCAGGTGGTCGGGCAACGACTATTCAGAGGATCTGGGGTGTCTGATGGACTGAGGGTAAAACATGGGTTTGTCAATAGCGTCCAAGTAGACATTGTCATCCAGTAAGGAGGTCAGCGCTCTTTGTGCAGGAGCTTCCCCAGACTCACGGGGCCACATGGGGTAGTCCATGTCATCTTCGCCCCAACTGTCCTCCTTATCCAAGGGTGACTGGTCCGCGTGCCATTCGTCTAGGATGGCCATGGGTGGGGGGTTGTCCTGCTCCCCTTTGTCCGAGAGGCGTCTGTGCTGGGTAGGCGAGTCCAAGAGCACCGGCCCCTGTCGCTTCGCCGGGCCTTACCCTCCTGGGAGCGTGGTTCAGGGCCTTGGTCAGATTTCTCCTGAGGAGGGGAGATGAGAAAAAGGCCAGTTACAGCCGCTCTCACATGGCCAGTCCGCCCTCACCTCTCCGCCCACGGGCCGCGATTCCGATGGAGTATTGCGGCTTGGGGCATGTGGGAGGGAGAGAGGGGTCAGAGGAGACAGCTCCCATGCGGCGAGCGAGAGCTTACACGTGGGGTCGCAGGATACGTACTCAGCGACACCCGGCAGTAGAGAGAATGGGGAGGCGGTTAACCAAACGCGTGGAATAAATACCTCATGCAAAAACCTTTAGACAGGAAGAGGGGCAGAGGGAGAAGGATAGAGAGAAGAAAGGGGGAAAAAAACTGGCCCCAAACAAAGGGAAATACAGTCCAGGAAAAAATTTATTAAAATACAAATAATGCAATAAATAATAGTATATATAGAAATTACATATAATCAAATATCACATAATATCCCACAGCCATTCATAAGACAATAGGAGGCAGTGGTACTCTGACTTGTGCTTGATGTGGA